CCAACCGCAGCCGAACTAGCCAAGACAGGGACTCCCATGTGTACTACACTGCCAAGTTTGCTATTGGCGTCGCAGCACAATATACGGCGTGGTCCGTCTAGGCAATGCATGCAGTAGCTTGCCAATCCAATCAGCCAACTTCTGAGTAACTACCAGGGTGCTGCCTTCATTCTTGTTCGGAGGGAAGTACGCAGAAATGAAAGTGTAGTCGGAGGCTGCTCGTCGTGAGCGTATGGCAAGAGCTCTGCCCGCTAAACAAGGATCAGTGGGCCAGGCTACTTGTGACAGCTGTTGAATGCGATGTCTTCGTACAGAAAGGGCGATGCAGACACCAGCAGCTTTGTTTGACTTGGCCCCATAACCAGCAGTGTATACATGAAACCCAGCTCGCCGCTGGTAACTGACAGGATGAGGAGCACACTGCTTGTCACGAGTTCCCTGAAGACAGATGACAGAGGCACTTGCAAACTCGCACACTCGCACAATATATCCTCATATCTTCCAGGAGAACGACAGGACAGAGGGTTGTAGCTGATGATTTGCTCGGTAGTAGCTTGACTACTGGGAACTGCACCTGCCATCACAAGAACGGCGACGATGAGCATGGGGACTGACGAATGGCTACCTGTCCTTCGAACTTGTGCCTGAGTAGCTGCTTCTTGCAACTTGCAGCAACAGTAGATCATCGAGGTTGAAGTCTGTCGAGATTGGGTCTGCAAATAAAGTTTGCAACAACAGTAATAGCCTTTGTGCCTATCGAAGCTTTTCTGCAAGGTCCGTCGTGGCTTCTTGTCCGGCTTCAAACACCTGTGGAGAGGCGGACTTATGCCTCGAAGCTCCATGTGAAACCTCGGAAGGCCTTGAAACTTCAAAACCAGGCAAGACTTCGGAAAGCCTTTCAATATTGCATACATGCTTGAAAAAAATGTTGGTGAATCACCGACGAGAGCCGAAACGTGCACTGCTTCTCAAAAACTTCTTCTGCCCTTTCCAACGCCCTTCGGCAACTTGTACGACACTCGCATACTTGTGCGATCACTGACTTGCGACCCTTCGAAGCAAATGCAAAAGTGCCATGAATCACTGATTAGTTTTCCAATGTTTCTTGTTATCTCAGTCGCTCGCCTATTTTGGGCTGTTTTTTTTTCCCCGTCGAGAGCTTGGTTCGATCTTTTCATGGTCCGGCGCAAAAAAACAGGCTCCCCCGATCGCCCGTGGACTTTCGCCGCAACGGGCGGTCGGCACTGAGCATTGAGATGGGCGCAGTGGATGCCCTGATGCATTGTTGTTTGTCTCGAAATCGCGACAGGCAGTCAGCAAGTTGTGTTGTGTTGTTATGGAAGCAGGGCAAGGCTGGCGTTTGAAAAGCCAAGCGACAGCATGTTTTCGGGGGCAGGCAGTGTGCAAGCACAAGCATTCACAAGCTGGTGGCACTCATATTGTGGTTTGCAGCTGCTAGCGGCCAAACATGGCGGGCCAAACAACATGAGCACCGAAGGTGCTACGCCACATTGTTTCGACTGATTGCACCTTCCAAACCCAGGTCTTAACATGTGGCATTTTTTACGCTTTCACAAAGAACTGAAGCTTTGCACTACATGCCGGCAAGTCGTCACGGGAGCATTGAGACAAACATGTGATGCTGTAGAAGCCCGTTGCACGATCATGGACATCAGCAAGGTGAAAAGCCCAGTTCTGTGAACCGAATCGCCCTTATGGAACCTTGGTTAGCTTCATGGTCCCTTCCGTGTATGTACTCTATATGGTATTACTGAGTTCAATTCTTCTACCTGCAGTGTTCTCGATGTAACCGGGTGCAAGCAGCTTGACAAAGCAGAAGTTTAGTTTTCTGGAAGCGCTCGCCCTTCCTGATTGAAGAATAGCTCAAGCTCCTTCGAGGTCGTTGATGTGCTCCGGCGCAGCGAATTCTCATCTTCAAAGGTGCGGAGCTGGAATTCGACGTGCAACCGGACGGGTTTGAAACAAGGCTAGTTGGCCGTCGACGCAGGTGGCACTTCTAATCGGCTTTCTCGCCTTGGTTCGAAGTGTCAGCGACTCACAGGTCGTGGCAGCAAGATTTGACACTCGATCAAACCGGTCCAGTACTGCTGGCTGAGGCCCCTGTTTTCTGGTCGACTGTGCTTTCTTTGTCATTCCTGCTTTGGTACAGCCTACTGCTTACATTCTGAACTCAAGTACTCCGGAATGCAAGTGCAGCTCTGGTGTGTCCGAGGCTATGACTTGACTCGTGCCTGTGACGAACAGAAAGCAGCACTTTGGGCAAAATGTGTTCCCTACTCAGAAGTCACTAGATGTCGTATGTGGGGTCGAAAGCTTCGCACATACGGCTCATGTGTTCATTCGGCCGTTTCTGATGCAAATCGGTGCCTGCATGCGTCCAGATTCGGCACACATTTGGTCTCGTTGCAGCTTCCGCTACAGAAGCAAGGCAGTCGGTTGACTTGTTCTGAAGACTTGAAAACGATAGTGGACAGAGGTGTCGCTTGCGTGTGCGATAACCTTCTCACTCGCTTGAGGGTTTGCAATGAAGCATACAATGCCTGGCATGCTTTGTCACCACATCCCAACCCACGAATGCAGATGCAAAAGCCTTGGAGTCTGCAGCCGGGATTAACAGCAAGCTGGTTTGGCAAGGTTCTTCCCGTGCGTGTTGCCGGCTTTGCTGAGCAATTTGGCAAAGGCAGAAACATTGCCATTTTAGGCTTTTCAGGCCGGGGCATCGTGGCAAGTCGCAGCCATCCCTTCCAGGCTTCACCACCTGGGGTCCGATGGCACGTTGGGCTCCGGAGAGTGACAGTGTCGCCAGCGCCAGCGCCCTGATACGCCTTTATCACTTGTTTGGCATTCTGGTCGTGAGACGCGCATTGATCCTCCTGGCCCCTCGTTCAGGTGCTATCCCCTGATTTCTCTCATGCTTCTGCAGTGAAGCGTTTCGATGCAGTGAGACGGCATGTGCCTTTTCTAACTTGGATTTGTAGCCGCTACGAACAGCCTGCAGATGAAACGACTGTAGCCACACCGTGTCTCTGCCTGATCGTGACGCAGGTGCAATGCGTCTTCGCAGCTAAAGCGAAGTTGTGGGGTGAGAGGCTTACCGGTTACCGGCAATAGTGCTGCAAACTCGTCGGGTCTGTCAGGCAACGACTGGTGTCCGCAGGCTTGTGGTGCAGAGTCAGAGGAGGCAGTTTTGGTGGCGAATGTCGCACTCTGTCTTCCGCGGCTGCTGCGCTTCTGCTTGATGGTCAAGCAAGGGGCAGCTCTGGATGGCTTTGTCTTTGAGGTTCGTGGAAGGAATTACTGCGATGAGCTTGGGAGATTCGCAATGACTGTTCGGAAAGTTCTGGCGGGTTTTAGTGCTGGCGACCCGTCCGGCACGGACTGCTTCAAGGGGCGAGTGGAAGGCCGTGGCTGGTATTTTCAATTTGCTCGAGAACCAATCTTCGTTACCACTTTTGCGCCTTGTTATGGCAGTGGGCATCCGAGATACCAGTTCAATCAACACACAGACTCCTGCTTCATTCTGATGCAGCCAGAGGAATCATTCCTCCGGCATGATCTCCCCCCGGACAAGCCTCGAAGTGCGACGAACTGGGAAGCACCAGCTGACGTGCGTGATCGCATTCGGGCCAACTTTCGCCGACACGGACGAGAGTACCGGATTCCTGAGACGACTTCATATCCCCCTGCAGACTTCATCGTTGCACCCATGGATGCGCTTCATGACGCTCCCGTGCGGTTCTGGGAACAAGGTGGGACGAGCTCAGATGGTCTTTGACGCTTTCTCGCAGCCGGCCTTACTCCAGCAAGATTGGATCAAGTCAGGCTGCCTCATAGGAAGAGCATTAGTGCAGTAGCAGCAGCAGCAGCAGCAGCAGCAAGAAATGAGGAGCAGCAGTAGCCATAAGACAATAACACGAGCAACAAGAGTAAAAATCATCATCATCATCATCATCATCATCATCATCATCATAATCATCATCATCATCATCATCAACATCATCATCATCATCATCATCACCATCATCACCATCATTACCATCATCATCATCATCGTCATCATCGTCATCACCATCAGAATCATCATGATTTTTCGTGTTATCCTCATCGGCACCACCAGCCTCATCCACACAACCATGACTGTGGTATCAATTTGTAACACTAGTATTTCATATTCATCATCATACCATCATCATCATCATCCGTTGTCTTCATTCGTATCATCATCTTAATCGTCGGTCGGCATCACGGCATCACAACGATTTGCCGCTGTCATCATCTTCTTCGCCATGGTACCAAAACAACAGCAACAAGCGCACTTGAAGCTAGAAGCAGCTGCAAGTAAAGAAGCAGACAGCAGACCGACCGACTCCCTGCTCGAAGCACGAAGCAGTGAGTCCCACGCGTAAAAGCAGCGGCAATGGGAAGTCCTGGCCTCAGTCGCTGGACATGACAGGGGCACGGAGGCACGGAGGCAGAGTATGCTTGGGCTCGAGGAAGTTGTTTTGCTTCAGGTGCCATCAACGCAGTGGCCTTTCCTGCGCCGCACTTGGGCAAAGCATTCTATCAGGCCCTTGTTCTGACGTGCTTCCTTGCCTAGTCGAGGCAACATGTTTTGTTTTGGGAGCGTAGCCAACCGGGAATGCGGGTGGCCCCTGCATTTCTCATTGTTGGGATTCTAGGGTTGAAGAGCCCCAGACAGAAAGAAATGACACCAACACCTTGGGCATCCTTCATTCCTTAGCAAGAGAGCATTGTGTGTTGTCGTGCTATCCGTCGCATGGCTTTCTGCACTTCTAGCCCTTTTGCGCATATCGCGGACAGGATGAGCTCCTGCGAAGGTTGGCCATTTTTGAACTGTGAACGGGTTGCTGTCGAGCAGTGTTCGTTTTTGCGTGTCTCTGTCTCCATGCGCAGACAGGCGAGATCTCGTGTTCCTGAAAACGGACCAGGATGAGTCTATCCCAGCCTGTCATGTCCGTGCACAGCGCCAGGCTCCCAGGTTCACCTACGCTTTGCCCAGCAGTATAACTATCACTGCTGCATTCAGGAAAGCATTCCTTTCTCTCTACACCTCCGGTGACAATCCTGTACAGCCATGGAAATGCCGAGGCAGCCGACTCATTGGGCCTCGCTGTGATTGTATTCTCGCATCGTGGTAGGATGTTGGACTACACCTCGATTACATTGATGCTCTTGCAGAATATACAGGCACACTGCTAAGACTGAGAGATTGTTGCCCTAACCACGGCTGCCGAGACCTGCTGAGGTGCCGATGTGTTCAGCTACGAGTACGTGGGCTACTCACTTTCACGGCTGGACGGTGACACCCCCTCCGAGGCAGCTCGGACGCACGTGCCTTGGGCACCTTTCCGGGCCTTGTCTTGTAGGCTGGATGCATACGAAGCATTGATGCAGCAGCTATCTCAGCAGTGCTGCGACTCGTTCAACAGCTTCGCAACATTCATACTCCAGAATAGAGGCTTGGCGATACCTCGTAGACGAGCAGAAGATCCATCCAAGACGGATTGCCACGGACTTGGATGGCGGGTGTGTTGCTGACGAACTCGTTGCATTCAATTGCCCGATGCCCAGTGAAAGCGTACGTCACTTCATGAAGGCTCGCAGAACTCCTCAGATGTGGAAGGTTTCGCGGGTGAAGATCCTGTCCGTTTTTGATTAAAGGCATCCAGCTGCTGTCTGTCGACCTTGTATCGTCACGCCATGTGCAGTGCCCCACAGCCCTGCTTATCGAAACAGAGTTTGGCCTCATTGCTGTGGGTTTGGCTAGCCTTGCAGTTTGTCTGTGTTTCGGAGATGCTTCGGGAGTTTCCACTAGTCTTGGAACTCTTCGACGAGGTCGGGAATCATTCAGGAAAGTCGTCGCAAAAAGCATCTACCCCGTTTTGAGGTATCCATGCTAGAGATATCAGGCTGGACGCAGCCTTTTGATCACGTTTCGGCTACATGTGAAGGTGTTGGTTGCAGCCAGTTCTGGTTCTGCTACAAGCGATTCATGTTCTCTGCATGAGGTGATCTTCGGTCGCTCTATCGGTGCGCTGCTGTCAGTGTGGAATATGTAGTTCGTAAGAATTCGACGAATTCTTTTTCTTCAGCTCTCACTCGCTTGTTGTCAGGTTCTGGTCCGAGCGTGGATCTGGCCTCCAGAGCTGAAGTTGAGGAGCAAAGTCATGGTTTTCCTTATCTTGGAGGTGTCGACTCGCGATGTTTTCGAACCCGTCCAGGGAACAGAGTTCTCGCCGTTGGATGCAGCTGGGGTGATCCTTCAATCTCCACTGGAAAGCACGGGCCCTGTGTGGCTTCTGCTGTTGGGTATCGCAGTTTCTGTATGTTTTCAAGCACGATGTGACGCAATGGCTAGGTGGTGCTTACGTCGTCGTGGGCTCGGAGTTGACAAAGCTAAGTTCCGTCATGTCACGTAGGCCAGAGCTTTTTCAGAGGTTCTGGGCGGCACGGCAGCGACTTTGGGCAGTGAGCCCATGACAGTGTTGCTGAATTGGCCTACATGGTTCTCAGTCCCAGGCTACTACTTAGACATCTTCCGCAACTACGAGAAGATCGGGAACATTAAAGCTAAGGCCACCTTACTTCTCAATGGGCTGCGCAAGGAATTCTGTGGCAGAAGAAATCAGTGGAGACACGAAGAGACCGAGGTTGCGATCATGCATGGAACAGATGACGAAGTTGTCCCCTTCTCAAACGGGGAGGCTTGGATGGTAGAGCGTCGTTGTTGACAATGCATGGACCACTTGAGTAAGACTAACGCACACCACAAGAAAGTTGACAGAGGAGTGAGAGAGCGCAAGAGAGAGAGAGAGAGAGAGAGAGAGAGGGGGCACCACAGCCCTGGCGAAAGAAAAAGAGGGAGGGGAAACCTCTGCAGCACAACCCTGGAGAAAGAGAAGCGGGGGTTTCAGAGAAAAGCAGCCAAAACTATTGTAGCTTTCGACAGCATCGGGGCAGAAACTGCCTCCACACTCTGCTCTGTCCCCTTACGAGGGCCAGTTCAGGCCTGATGAAAGCGACAGCGAGAGAGAGAGAGAGAGAGAGAGAGAGAGAGACAGAGAGAGAGAGAGGGGAGTAAATCCCCACCACCACAACCCTGGCGAAAGACAGAGAGAGGAGCAAACAAGGCCCCGAAACAGGGGTGCTCCATGCGGTGCGGGGAGCCTGAACCGCTCCCTAAGCTCCGGAGAAGAAGAAGAGCAAACAAGTGGTCATTATGACCCCAATGCCGGCCACTCCATACACCAATGGGTGGTCGGGCGGGCGGAAGGCCTGAGATTCGCTAGACGACCCCTAAGCCCGGCAGAAAGAA